GCGCCCCCCAGCCGCCCCGCCCACGCCCCCCCCCGCCGCGATGAACCGAGAAGCGCGCCCCCGGCGCACAGACCCCTCCCAGGGCTCCCGCGGGGCCGGGACCGGGGAGGGCGAGGCCGCGCCGCGGGCTACCTCGGAGCCAATCATGTAGAATTCGCCGTCGTCCTCCAGCTGGAACTTGACGGGCTTCTGCCCGAAGGTCTTACTCAGCGCCATCATCATCATCGTGGCGGTGGAGACGGGCGGCCGAGGCCGGGTTGCGAAGGACCGAGAGGGCCGGGGCGGGGCCGGAGCGTGCGGGGCCGAGGGGAACAGAGGCTGGCAGGCCAAAGGCCAAGGGCGGGCCGGGCCGGGTGCTCGCACCACCGCCAAGATCCTCAGCCACCGCCGCAGACGACGACCAGGCCGCCCTCAGTGCGCATGCGCGGGCGTTGACGCTGACGCGCGCGCCGCCGCTGCCGCCGCTGCCGGGACAAAAGACCAAGCGCGCCCCCCAGGGACCCCTTAAAGGAGCCGCGACCAGTTTCTCTTCCCAGGCTGTCTTGGTACAGAGGACAGCTTCTCACGGACAAAAATAGCCACTGAGGTCCTGACTCGGACGATGGCATTCTCAGTCTCACAGCCAGGACTAGGATTCAGCCCAGGGGAGAAGAAATAAAGCGTGGCCTGAAGCCTGGGGAAACAGAGCTACAGCTGAGTGGTCTGGGCATGCTCTGTGATCCCAGGCTGGTGCCTCAGTTTCCCCACTCCAACAACGCAGTGCAGTTGCAATTGAACAGATAGGAGGACTCGGGCCCTGGGCTGGCTTTGTGGCATGGTGGTTGGGGCAACTGAATCCTACAAGTCAGACTGCACAGATTCGAATCCCAAACTCCAGCGACTTGAGAAACACTATGGAGGGGACCAGCAGTTAGCATAATGGCTATGTCACTGGACTCCCATGTAGTCGACCGCGGTTCGCGTCCCGGACCTGTTGGCTTAAACTCACACCGGGTGCGTGTGCGTGCATGCCCAAGATCTCGAGAGGAGAAGTACAGAGGACAGCTTCTCACGGACAAAAATAGCCACTGAGGTCCTGACTCGGACGATGGCATTCTCAGTCTCACAGCCAGGACTAGGATTCAGCCCAGGGGAGAAGAAATAAAGCGTGGCCTGAAGCCTGGGGAAACAGAGCTACAGCTGAGTGGTCTGGGCATGCTCTGTGATCCCAGGCTGGTGCCTCAGTTTCCCCACTCCAACAACGCAGTGCAGTTGCAATTGAACAGATAGGAGGACTCGGGCCCTGGGCTGGCTTTGTGGCATGGTGGTTGGGGCAACTGAATCCTACAAGTCAGACTGCACAGATTCGAATCCCAAACTCCAGCGACTTGAGAAACACTATGGAGGGGACCAGCAGTTAGCATAATGGCTATGTCACTGGACTCCCATGTAGTCGACCGCGGTTCGCGTCCCGGACCTGTTGGCTTAAACTCACACCGGGTGCGTGTGCGTGCATGCCCAAGATCTCGAGAGGAGAATGGAGGAGAAGGGATTGCGGTGTGGCCATCCCCCCTGGGGGGTGATTTCTCGCTTTCTGTCGCTCTCTCTCTGTCTGTCTGGCGAGCGCACATGCCCTATGGCAAAAACTTCTCCAAAAAAAGAAAGAAAGAAACACTATGGACATTCTCGTAGTTGAATGCCCAAAATCCCTAAAGGAGGGAGAGAGAGAAGGGATTAGCATGTGTGCTCTCCCTGAGGATGCTTTCTCCTCTCCAGGGCTCTCTTTCTGGCAAGTGTACAGACCCTCTAGCCCCAAGAAGAAGGGGGCCGGGGGAAGAGCTCCAGCTCCAAAACAGATCCCAGTCTGGGTTCACAGCTATTCCTGCAGCCGCGGGATGAGCAGTGATACACAGGGTGGGGTTGGCACAGCCAAAGGCTCCGGGGTGTGGCAGTACTCAAAAGCCCAGGTGGTATTTGGTTTGGCTGGTGCTTCAGATGAACATTGGCAGGACACCTTCTCCATGCCTTTAACTCAGTGCCTGCAACAAGCCCAGCCCTGCCCTGAGGCACTTACAGCCCAGAGCTGGAGACCAACACTCCTAGAAGCAGCAAAGTGACCCAGCAGTTCAAAACAGGGCCGCTGCTGCCGATTCCCTGTAGTTCAGCCTGGTAAGACTGCAGCTGCGAGCGCTGCTACCAGGAAGACAGAGAGGCTGAGACTCATAAACCTTGGGACCCACCAATCTTCTGTGTCCTGGAACCAGTGAAGAAGCCACTGCAGCCATCTGGCGAAATGTGACAGAGGATGGAGCAGGAGGAACCCTGAGCTCCGTGCGTGGACCCAAGGACCAGAGGCTTAAGAGAAGGGAGGGAAGAGGAGTTTGATCCTGGCTACGAGGATGGGGCCAGACCTGAGCCAGGCCTCCGCGTTCTGGCTGCACAGTCACAAAGAGAGACCAGGCGGGCAGGTAGAAAACAACTGTTTAATGACAGTCCTCAGTTAAAAAATCGAAACGAAATAAACAAAAGGCTTTATACACACAGTACACACATATACATGGCTTTGGAGGATACCAGTGCTGGGGTGAGGGCTTCAAGAGGATCTGGCCAGGGGCAGGACTGAGGTATATTGGGGTCTCCAGGAAGCCCCCTGGCTCCCCAGCTGGCTGTGGCATTTTGGGCTTGGATCCTGGGGAACAGATTTCCAGGGCCCCCAGCCAGAAGACAGCCGTATCCATTCTCCCACCCAGAGCTGACTTAGAAGAGGGCCCCGCCCCGCAGTGCAGCTGCTGGGCCAGGGCAAAAAGCCATGGGGCTCCTGGCACCTCTGCTCCTTCCCGGAAGGAACTACACAGCGGGGACAGAGCAAGGATACCCCACTCCCCCACCATGCCAAGGTCCTCCCCTGAGGGACAGGGACGAAGACTGAGGGCCGCCAGGTTTGACCATGGCCTATACAAGTGGTTGGAGCCAGCCCAAGACCTCCCTCACCCCTTATTAATGCCCAAGACCTCCCTGTCCGGTCTGAGACGGCTGCTGGCAGGCGACCACGGCCCGCGTGGCCTTCCCTGCAGTTGTCACGGTGGTTGTACCCCCCTCTCCACCCCCCTGAGGAGACACGAGCTTGGCCCCGTGCCTGGTGCCCACAGCTGCAAAGATGACTGTGGGTCTCTAGCCTGATGTCAGTGGCCTGGCAGGGGACAGTGCCCTGAGGACATGCCCGCCATGATCAGCGGAAAGTGTTGGCAGGTTCAGCACAGCCAAAGAAGTCAGGGCCCACGAGACGGGGGAAGCCCTCCAGAGCCTTCACCTTCACGGGGTCAAACTTCCAGTATAGGCGACCACGCAGGAAGTAGGCGTAGCCTAAGGAGAGAAGGAGGTCAGGCCTGGGCGAGTGGACACTGGGTACTGCACCAGCCTGTCACCTAGGGCCCCAGGACAGGAACAGGGGGATGGTCAGGTGGGCAGGCTCCAGGTCAGTCCTCCAGAACCTCCCTTCCCTGTCCTAGGGTCTGGTCTGGGCTAACACCCAGCCTGACAGGTGTCTGGACCCTCAAGAGGCAGAAACTCCTACCTCTCGGGAATTTGGGTCCTGAACCTCCTTGGCCCACCAGCCGGGCTACAGAGGGCACGCTGGGGTCCCAGAGCCCAAGGCCACTCTAGAACAGTGGTCCCCATGAGTCCTGAGTCAGGAAAGCACAGAAGCCCAGAGGGGCCAGCAGGAAGACAGCTTTGCTGTGAGTCCTGACCTGGTCTCTTGGGGAAGGCTGGGTGGGTCAGTGTTTAGGAGCAGGAGCTACCCAGGTGGGAGCCCTGATCTAACCACCATCCGCCTGGGTGGCCCCGATGAGAAACCTCATTGTCTGTGTCTCTGTTTACGACTCTGGAAAGCAGCTCGCAGCAGGTGTTAGTCACAGGGCCAGCTCTGAGAACTGCAGGAGACAGCTAAGGGCTTAGAGCTGTGACCTGAGCACCGTCAGCCCTCAGCGTGCAGTAGTTACTACTGAGTCATCAGAAAGGTTATGACAAATTTTTTCTCCTTTTTTTTTTAAAGTCACTTTTTAAAATAATTATTTAATTTTATTTATGATGATTATTTCTTCATTTGACCAAGCCCTGCCGGGTCTGGGACTTGAACCAGAGTCCACCATGTGGAAGTCCAGAGCCTTAACCACCTTGCTACCTACCAGCCCCATATTTTTTCTATGTTTTTCTATGCAAAAATGCGTCATGGTTTTTCCAACCACCCGATATTTTAGCGGCTGTGACAGGGACCCTGAATCTCTCTGGCTTTCGGTCTCAATGTCTACAAAACCAGGCATAACACTGCCCAGCCACAGGAGGAGAGCTGGCCCTGGGCAAAGGGCCTGGGACCTGTGACGAAGAGCTGGTTGCACAGTGACAGAGACCAGGCGGGCAGGCAGAAAACAACTGTGTATAACCCAGCTCCCTCCAGGAGGGAGCTCCCGCCCCTGCCCTCCCCCAGCCTCCCCATCCCCCGTACCATCTGCATCCTGGAAAGCTGCATCAATTTCAGAGGGCACCCCTCGCCAGTCGGTGGCCCGGCGGGGCACAGGGCTGTCCACACGTCGGGTACTGGGGTGGAAACGCCAGTAGTCCCCGCCTCGGAAGAAGTAGATCTTGTTCTTCTCAGGACCCCAGACCAAGGCGGCGTGGACCGGGGACCCCACCAGGCCCAGCTCAGAGAGAGGCGCGGGGCCCAGGACTGGCTTTTCGCCGTTGTACACCCAGTACTGAGCACCTGCCAGAGAGGAGAGGCTGCTGGGAGCTGCCCGCTGCCACGTCCGACCACAGTGCACCTGCTCAGCTGCCACCATGGGCCAGCCCAGCCTCAGTTTCCTTGTCCACGAGACACGTCAGCCAGGAATGGCTGCTCAGCACCTGCGACCCCAGAGGGAAGCTGGAACCAACCGGGAGAAGCAGGGGAGAAGGTGGTGCAGTACCTTGCGGTGAGCGGATTCTAAGCGAGAAAACAAGCCACCGGGTCCAGGACTTGAACTATGGTTGGCCATTTGGGAGTGTCCAGCGCTTTAACCACCAGGCCACCCGCTGGTCCCCATATTGATTTAATTATTTTAATTTGACCAGAGAGGGGGAGTGAGAGAAAAAGACAGGGAAGCTGAGAAAGCAAGCCACCAGGTCCGGGATTCGAACTGCGGTCAGTCATGTGAGTTCAGTGCCCTTAGCCACCACGCCACCTGCTGGCCCCAGCAGTGAGCTCATTCTAATCAGTAGAGGGCTGCCTGGGTTCTTTCCTTCCCCTAGCATTTGGCTATCTGCAGCAAGCACCTGCCGACCATTCCCTGCGCCCCGCGGGCCCCTGACAGCCCCCAAACCTGCACATGAGTTTCCTAGTGGAGCCTCTGTTGGTGAGGTCTCCGCTGCCTGGAATGTGCCAGGCTCTTCCTCTGCCAGTTGAAAGTTGCAAGCACAGGGGCCAGCAGGTGCCATGGTGGTTAACGCATTGGACTCCCACAGGGCTGACTGTGGTTTGAGTCTTGGACCTGGCAGTTTGCTTTCTCACTTCCCTTCTCTCTCTCTCTCTGTTCAAATTTAAATAATAATAAAATTTTTAAAGAAGTTATAAGCACAGGCTCCAGGTCACCAGCCCTGGACTGAATCCCTGCCCTGCCTTCTCCAAGCTCTGCCTGCAGGTGAGTCGCTCCACTGTGTCTGAGCCCCAGAGGCCTCATTTCCAAAACTCTGCCCAGCATGGCGGCTTTGAGGATAGAAGATGCCAGCCCGCAGCCTACTGTGCACATCTCAAGAGCTGCCTCCTCATGGCACCAGCAGATGGTGTAATATTTATGTCACTGGATTCCTCCGTAGTTGACCACAGTTTGAGTCCCAGACCCAGTGGCTTAAAACTCATGCTGGGGGAACTGCAGTTAGCTTAATGGCTATGTCGCTGGACTCCCATGTAGTCTACCGCAGTTCAAGTCCCAGACCCGGTGGCTTAAACTCACGCCGGGTACATGTGCATGCCCAAGATCCCGAGAGGAAAATGGAGGAGAAGGGATTGTGGCATGGCCATACCCCCTACGGGGGTGATCTCTCATTTTCTGTCTCTCTGTCTCTGGTGAGCACACACACCCTATAGCAAAAATCTCTCTTAAAAAAAAAAATAGATGCCACCTATGGGTCCTCTCCACTGTGCCAGAGAGGTGAGCCACACTTTGGCCCTGAACCTTTGGGAACTCTCGCCTTCTCCTTATGTCCTTGGGGATCCATCTGTGTGTCCTTGCCCTGGACCAGGACACTCCTCACTCAGAGATGTGTCCTGAGCTGACCCACTCACCTTGAAAGAACCAAATGTGGCCTTGAGCGTCCTCGAAGGCCGCGTCTATAGAGCTGGGCAGTCCCTGCCAGTGGCGAACGGCGACCACGGGGGGAACGGGGGGGAGGGCG